GTAAAGTGCTGCGTAAACTGACAGCGCTATATAAGTACCTGAAATAAATAAATATTCTCTGGGGGGTGGTGACTATTTGGGTGGATTTCAGTGGCATCTGCCTTCCCCACCTCGCCTCTTCCCACTCCATTCATGTCTGGCTTAATATCCCTGGTAATGCAGCCTGTGGGAGATATTGTCTGTTCCTCTCTCTGAGTAACACATGTTTATATGTTTAGCGCTTTGTGGTGTAATTCATTCTGAATGCCAACCCAACACACAAAGACAAAACAGCAGCAATGCACTGCGCCACAATACATGGTAATGCAATATCCTGCGTTGTGGTGTGGTGCATCGAAAAAAATGGCACATGTCCATTATTTGGTTCATGTGCATTGGCAGCTCAAGAGTGAATGGGTCTCAAGGCCAGAGAACTGGGTAGCAAAGGGATTTGGGTTCACAAGAGAGAACCGTACTATCTAAAAGCCTCCTTATGCTCCTTCATTGATGAGTTTACTGGATCTTTCCACTCAAAACTAATGTTTTGGTGATGCCGAAGATCTCTGTGCTGAGTTCCCGGGTCTGTACACGTGCTGTGTCCATTATGAGGGGTTCCCGCCATCCCTGTGCTGAGTTCCCGGGTCTGTACACGCGCTGTGTCCATTATGAGGGGTTCCCGCCATCCCTGTGCTGAGTTCCCAGATCTGTACACCTGCTGTGTCCATTATGAGGGGTTCCTGCCATCCCTGTGCTGAGTTCCAGGGTGTGTACACGTGCTGTGTCCTTTATGAGGGGTTCCCACCATCCCTGTGCTGAGTTCCAGGGTGTGTACACACGCTGTGTCCATTATGAGGGGTTCCCACCATCCCTGTGCTGAGTTCCCGGGTCTGTACACATGTTATGCCCATTATGAGGGGTTCCTGCCATCCCTGTGCTGAGTTCCTGGGTCTGTACACCCGCTGTGCCCATTATGAGGGGTTCCCGCCGTCCCTGTGCTGAGTTCCCGGGTCTGTACACCCACTGTGCCCATTATGAGGGGTTCCCACCATCCCTGTGCTGAGTTCCTGGGTCTGTACACCCGCTGTGCCCATTATGAGGGGTTCCCACCATCCCTGTGCTGAGTTCCTGGATCTGTACACCCACTGTGAGCATTATGTTGGGTCCTTACCATCCCTACAATAAGTTACCTAGTCTGCACACCTGCTTGGCCCATTATGAGGGGCTCCCACCATCCCTGTGCTGATTCCCCAGGTCTGTCCACCTGCTGTGCCCATTAGGAAGGGTTCCCACCATTCTTGTTGGATCTACTATGGGGGCTCTCAAAATTTATTGAGTTAGGAATTGCAGAACATCGGGGTGCCGTGACAATGTTCCATAGCTTACGCATGTATTTGCAAATCTGTGCTAACTAAACCCCTTTTTTTAACGACTACTGTTAGACAGGTTAATTCGGTTTGTTTGCAGACTGGTTGGTAAGTGAGCTGGGAATTTTTCTCTTTTGTTTGACATGCGTCACCCTTCCATGGTCTCCTGGCTGTGAAGGCCAGTTATAGACCGGGGCAGCTGCCATTTTTTGTACTGTTCAACCATCACTACAGCCATCCAGAGGGGTGGACTGACAACTCATGGGGCCCCCGGGCAATTGGGGATCATGGGGCCCCTGTGTCCTTGCCCAAACTCAAAAAATCCTATGAAAAAGGTACCAGGGGCATCTCATGGGGCCCCCTACTGACCCCGGGCCCTCGGGCAGTGCCCGCGTTTCCAAATGGTCAGTCCGCCCCTGGCCCTCCATCAATCTGGGCTTTATGACACAGTGGTTAGACGGAAGCCTCTCCTCAGTGCAAAACACATGAAAACCTGCTTGGAGTTTGCAAAAAAGCAACTGAAGGACTGTGAGGAACAAGATTCTCTGGTCTGAAGAAATCAATGTTGAAATGTTTGGCCTCAATTCTAAAAGTTATATCTGAAGGAAACCAAGCACTGCTCATCATCTGCCCAGTACCATCCTAACAGTGAAGCATGGTGGTGGCAGCATCATGCTGTGGGGGTGTTTTTCAGCAGCAGGGATTGGGAGACTGGTCAGGGTTGAGGGAAAGCTGAATGGAGCAAAGTACAGAGAGGTACAAAGTACAGTCCTCATTGAAAACCTGTTCCACAGCACTCAGGACCACAGACTGGGCTGAAGGTTAATCTTCTAACATGACAATGATCCTAAGCACACAGCCAAGACAATACAGGAGTGGCTTAGGGACAACTCTGTGAATGTCCTACAGTGTCCCAGCCAGAGCCCTGACTTGAACCCTGTTGAACATCAGAGGGACCTAAAAATGGCTGTCCACCGATGGTCCCCATCCAACCTGACTGAGCTTGAGAGGAGTTGCAGAAAAGAATGGCAGAAAATCCCCTGATCCAGGTGTGCCAAGTTTCTTGCATCATACCCAAAAAGACTGGAGGCTGTGATTGCTGCCAAAGGTCCTTCAACAAAATACTGAGTAAAGGGTCTGCATACCTAAGTATGTGTAGGTGATAGTTCAGTTTCTTTCTTTTTAATAAATTCACAGATATTTGTAAAATTATTTTTTCACTTCGTCATTATGGAGTGTAGATTAAGGAGAAAAAAAAAGAATTTAAACAACTGTAGTATCAGGCTGCAACAAAACAACATTGAAAAAAGTGAAGGGGGTCTGAATACTTTATGAATGCACTGTATGCCAAGGGACCCTTTGCCTACTATAGACCACCTGTATGCAAAATATTTGGTGAATGGACTCTTTACCATTTATTAAGAAAGATTGTCACACCGGCCTACTAATGTCTTCACATGGCCCCGAGCATTATCCATAGGGCCCGACACTAGTCATAGAACCCTCCTGCCCCTTTGCCGGTCTGGTCTTTGGGGGGGATGTTGCTGTCTGATGACCTGTCAGCCCCCATGTCTGTCTTTATTGGCCCCTGTGCACCCAGCTGCAGAGCTTCCAGCCAGCTCACAGGGGCCAAGGAAGACAATGGGGTCGGCCTGATTTGCATTGCAATGTTGTGCTTGACAGACAGTTGGAGCCGGGGAACAGGCCTAAAGGAATTGTTCCTGCCATAGCTTCGGGGTGTGAGACACAACACGGCCTCACAAAAGATAAATAGGAAAATCCCTTCCAAAAGCTCTGAAAGGCTAGACAGGTCTAATCACCAGGCCTTTCCACACATAGGGCCAGACTGCAGGGTGATGGACAGATAATCCCAGAGGGCTCTCTATGCAAACACACTTCTCTGCTAGGTGTGCCCAGACAACAAATATCCATAGACACTTTCTCCTCCATGTTCTAAAGGGGATGGAGCCCTAAGGCCTAATTCACACAATGATGCATGGCTTCAGGTGTCATATATATGCACTTTTCTGTGCATTGTCACCCTACATACATTCACTTCAATGGGCCGCCCTACTCCCAACAAACACATCTAGGTATCTCATGCTCCTTTTTGAGCTTTGTGTATTTTCGACTACGCATTTTGCCTCATTCGTTGCCCCTGGTTGAAAAACCATGCAGCTGCTTACCACGTTTTGTGTGCTTTTAACCTCCCTAGCAGGGGCGGACTGGTAGCTCATGGGGCCCCCGGGCAATAGGGGATCATGGGGCCCCTGTGTCCTTGCCCAAACTCAAAAAAGCCTATGAAAAAGGTACCAGGGGCATCTCATGGGGCCCCCTACTGACCCCGGGCCCTCGGGCAGTGCCCTAGTTTCCATATGGTCAGTCCGGCCCTGCTTGAAAGATATGCCCAGCAATGGCATTGAGACAGAAATGGTTAAGAAACAATTCATTGCACATTGCCAACTTAGGGGAACCTTGTTGACCCCCGGTTCACATCTATGCGGGTGGTGCCACTGCAGATCTGCACGATGTGCAGCATCCGCACAAAGAATTGCGGACCCGCGGATGGGTGCCATTAGTTCTAATGACACGCCGCCCGCACTGGAAAACACAACTGTACTGGGAACCGAGGTTCCCCCTGTGCGGGCTGCATTTTCCAGAGTAGTGCAGGGACTTCTTTCCCTGCGTGTATGCGGGTGGTGCCACTGCAGATCCACACGAAAATCCGTGCAGCACCCACACAGAGAATTGCAGACCTGCGGATGGGTGCCATTAGTTCTAATGACACGCCACCTGCACTGGAAAACACAACTGTACTGGATGCTAAAGGAGGCTGCAGCACTGGAATAAGTAAAGATAGAAGACATGGGCTGCTGGAAAGGTTAGTATACTACTAGGGGCGGATTGACAACTCATGGGGCCCCCGGGCAATAGGGGATCATGGGGCCTCTGTGTCCTCGCCCACACTCAAGCCACACCCAAAAAAGCCTATGAAAGGTACCAGGGGCATCTCATGGGGCCCCCTACTGACCCCGGGCCCTCGGGCAGTGCCCGAGTTTCCAAATGGTCAGTCCGCCCCTGCTCCCTAGCGGTCTGACTATGTCAGTATTTCTGTGCTCAAAGCGGTACATTTTTTTGCATGGAAATATGTTGTTTTTTTATTGTAGGCCTGTAATTCTTAGGAATAACTCACTAAAATCTGTCCGAACAAGAGTCTAGTAAATATCCCGGGTATGATAAAATTTGAAACACGAAATCATAAATTATAATTTAATAAATAATCATATAAAATAATAATATCATAATAATAAATTTAATTCAATAATATAATCAAACCAAAAACACTGAAATTTGAAATATAGCGCCAAGTTCGCACATCGCTGAGCAAAGTCGCAAAATTGTTTTCAGTGTCTGATGAGGAATTTTCCCCCACGAATCATTATCACTCAATTCTGAAAGTGGTTCTGATTTACTATCGCTGTTCTCTAGCCGGTCTAAAACCGCTTTTGACCTAAAGGGACGCTTTTTGGACACCATGGACGTTTCTCAGTTTCCAGGCAGAAAGAACAGTAAAAATGCAGGCAGGGCACCGGACAAAGCACTCGGGACAAAATGTATGTGAAATGGTTTGATACAATAATGGAATACTATCAGATTTTAGTGTATTGTGTGAATGTCAAATTTTAAAATTTTTGAAATTCTCGCCAGTTCCATCCCCCGTACGTTCCGACGCTTGCAGGGAATGGAACCCAGAAGACAGATGCCGACATCAACCGGAGGAGATGGCCGGGGACGCTGCAGGGGGGACATCGTGGGAGCGCAGGACAAGGTAAGTGCAGAAGAGATCCCGGAGCAACGCTGCAGTGTATTCCCAAGTGTAGCTCGGGGTTACCGCTTCTGGTACTGAAACTTTACCCCGAGCTACACTCGGGAATACCACCAGGGAGGTTAATAATGACATTGAGCTCTTGCCCAGGTTCATGTGCTGCTATAGTATGAATGTAGGCTAAGGGGCTCATTCACACCTGCAGTAGTCCTCCTCGCCTCTCTGAAAACCAATCCGCAGTGGTCGCTTTTAAAAGGGTAGTTGGCAGGCTGTGGGTAGGTAATGTGATCACCTTCTCACCATCTGCTTCTTCCCTGAAAATCTGGCACCACAAACACAAGCATTAGCTGCGGTATCAGAGCAGCCCCATTCACTTGAATGGTTCACAGTTGGTGCTGGTGCTGCCCGCTGAATAGCAACACTGGGTATCATTTTTGCTGCAGCCACAAAGCAAAGCCTCACAGCCACGGCATTTATACAACCCCATTTGGCTGCTTAGAGTAAGGGGGGCAGGGCTGCTCATTGTGCGATAAAACTGCAACTGAACTGGCTACTTTTACTACCCACCAGGCTGCCCATGTGAAAGAAACCCTACAGCACGGCTTCAAAGTCGCAGGACTTTGACAGATGACTATTCTGTGCAACTTCTTTGCGGTTTGCTGACACTCATTGCAACTTCATTAACAGAAGTCAATGCAAGTCACACAAAAATAGTGCAGGAACCTTTTTCTAAGTCGCTGTGGCTTGAGTCGCGCCAATTAGAATGGTTCCATTGCCGGTATTGGGGTGTGACTTGTCATGTGACTTTGAACTCGCGCTGGTGTGAATCAGGCCTCATTACATTTAAAATGCTAAAGCACTGTGTACCACAAGCAAATGTTGCTTATTTTTAGTAGAATGCCTGTTTTCACCTCATTTTCATCTTTTTTTTTGGGGGGGTTTTTTTTGCAGTTCTGTTGATCTCCTGCTGCCTCTTTGATTATGATGATGATTATAATTATTATTATTTATAATATGATGACTAATTATTATTATTATTATTAATAATAATAATAATAATAATAATAATAATAATATGTTGATAGCTATTATTATTAAACTGATGATGATGATTATTATTATTATTATTGCTACTACTACTGACTAATATTGTTATAATAATAACAAAAAAAAATGATTATTATTATTGTTATTATTATTGCTACTACTATTACTACTACTAATAATAATAATAATAATAAACTGATGGCTGTTATTCTTATTATTATTCTTGATAATAATCTTAATAATAATTATCATCATCATAATAGAACAAAAAAACAATAAAAAGGAAACAGGTGGCAAATTTTTCATTTCTTCTTTTTCTCTTCTCTACAACTGTAATTAGGGTTGGAGGTAACCTAAGATATTATTATGTTTAACCTTTTCTTGGATACTCTAAAATGATTATTTCATGGAACTAGTAGGACCTTTAGGAATTATTCAATATTTCTTTTATTGTCTTTGTTAACTCCTTGGCGCCGATGCCTCCCAGTCCTTTAAGGGTTCCAGAAGCGGGGCTTTAGGGTCATGTGACTGCTGTGATTCGCTGTCACGGAGGTCACATGATTGGGAAAGGTCCCCAACCGAAAGAGGAGATCGGGACCTTTCCGTGAGTACCGAACGTGTGTGCTGGGAGCACACAGGGCGCATGCTCTCAGCAAATGTTTTTTTTAAGAGAACACAAATGTGCGGCCGCTCGGCGTCTAGGCCCAGACATCGATAGGCCACACATTTGCGATCGGCAACTTTACCGCAACATCTATACTGTGCTATTGTGTAGCTTTTCACTGTCCTATTTTTGTTTTGTATTTTTTTTTGTTGTAACTATATTTGTAAAACAAAATAAAAATTTATTATGGAAAAAAAAAAGTTTTTTTTTAGTCTCCATCCATCATACATACAAAATGCAGAACACTCAATATAAACTGTATTTATAATAGGTAGATTAAGCTCACGCACAAAACCCAACTGGCTAAGATTTTTATTTTATTACAGAAACTCATTGATCAAAAAAGTAATAACAGCCTCAGATGATACATATTGTCCCGTTTTAAACACTGTAACATTTTAACAACTTTATTTGATTATTATCAGCTGATTACTGCAATGTTCTGTACAATAATACTATAGACATTGTACTACATTGTATGAAAAGGAATAAAAACATTGTAAAGAAAAAAAGGAAATAGGTGCAATGGAAGGTAGATACCCATAGAAATTAAATGCATGTCAGAAGATAGGGCTTAGGTGATATCAGGAACACAATGGGCGAGATAAAGGCTGGCCATAGACGGGCCGAATTGTCGGCTGCTAAATGAAAAATTAGTCATTGCTGCCATGGATGCTGCCATCAATGCTTACGAAAAACGGCCGTTTTTCAAGGATTTTCCAGCATGACCAATAAAAAGAAATGCGAAAATCCACGAAAAACGGCCAACAGCATTGCCCTACTAATGACGTGAATATCAGGCGATTTTTCATTCGGATCAAAATTCGGCCGATAAATGACCCGTCTATGGCCTGTATTACTTATCCCCAGTTCACATCTATGCGGCCGTGCGGGCTGCGTTTTGCACGGGCACAAGAGCCCATTCATTTGAATGAACTCCCATGCCCATGACACGCAGGGAAGAAGTCCCTGCACTTCTTTGGAAAACACAGCCCACACAAGAACCTCGGTTCCCAGTACGGTTGTGTTTTCCAGTGCGGGAGGCGTGCCTTTAGAACTAATGGCACCCGCCCGCGGGTCCGCAATTCTCTGTGTGGGTGGTGCGCCTGCACGGATTTTCATGCGGATCCGCAGCGGCACCACCCGCATAGATGTGAACCTAGGGTAAAACTGGAGCACTCAAAATCTGGAGCAGCTGTGCATGGTAGCCAATCAGCTTCTAACTTCAGCTTGTTCAATGAAGCTTTGACAATAAAACCTGGAAGCTGATTGGTTTCTATGCACAGCTGCTCCAGATTTCGCAAAATGCGGTTTTAGTAAATAACCCCCATAGTTTTAAAGTGGTTATCAAGGCTGAAGGTTGTTTACCTTCATACATTCTATGCTTGAAGGTAAAAAACTTCCTGTGTGCTGTACCCCCCCCCCCCCAATACTTACCTGAGCCCCCTCTTGCTCCAGCAATGTGCATGGGAGCCTCGGCTCTCTCTCGGGTCTCTTTCTCCTCATTGGTTGAGCCGTTGACTCCCACTACTGTCAATCATAGCCAGTGAGCCTGGGAGAGAGCTGGTTGCAGGGCTGAGTTGGGGCTCCATGTGTCTTATGGACGCATAGGAGCGCGCATGCACCAGTGCCCCCATAGCAAGCGGCTTGCTATTGGGGGCACTGGTCAAGGGGGAGGGGCCCAGGAGCACTGGTGCGAGACCCAAGAAGAGAAGGATCGGGCTGCTCTGTGCATTACAAAGAGCAGGTAAGTATGACATGTTTGTTATTACAAAAAAACCCCCAAAAAGTAGCTTTAATATGACTTGAACAGTACGGATGTTTACTACCTTTGAACATCAGTACCCCCTGTCCAAAATTTCTTCGTATGCTCATACACGAGTAAAATAAATTCTACCCTCCCCAAATTAACAATGCATGCATGTACACACCTATTTGAGCACATATAAGCATCCGCAAGTAAAATGCTAACTAGCAACTCAGATTTCTGCATTTTTGTTAACTCCTCTATATGCAGCACATATTTACACACCTATGTGTACAGGTACATTGAAAACAATGGGCTGCATTTAGATCAATAAGAAAAAAAAAAAAACATCCACATACCTGAAAATGTTCAGTATTTTGGCAGCAGTGTGCAGGAGGCCAAATCCTTCAGGTGTAACCTAGATTGAAATTGGGTTACCTCCAAAATTTAGATTTTGGCCAAGTGGAAATCAATATTTTTTGACTTTAAGAGTTTTTTTTTTCCCCCCGGGGAGGTGTTTTTAGATTATTTAGTATATTTCTTTTAGGTGTCTATGTATTTTTTTTGTTTTTTGATTTTTTGTATATTTGATTGCTATTTGTGTACTGCCACAATTTTTTTTCCATTGTGGAAAAACACATAAATTAAAAAGACTAATAAAGGGCCCAACATTCATAAGCCACCTTCATTTCACCATCCCCATACACTCCATTTTATTTACCCACGTCTACAGCAGGGGCGGACTGACCATTGGAGCACTCAGGTAATGCCCGAGGGCCCAGGGTCAGTAGGGGGCCCCATGAAATGCCCCTGGTACCTTTTTATAGGCTTGTTTTGAGTGTGGGCAAGGACAGAGAGGCCCCACGATTCCCTATTGCGTGGGGGCCCCATGAATTGTCAGTCCGCCCCTGGTCTACAGTTCAATATTCTTGAAATGTCACTATAATAAAATATTGAAATATTTACCTACTTACATTTTGTGGATAATTGCCATTATTGCCCGGGTGATATAAATTGTAAAAAAAATAAAATAGATTTTATTATACAAAAAAAATTATTAAAATCATAAATCATGAGTTTAAGCATTTTTTGTATAATAAAATCCCCTCCCTCTTAGATTGCAAGGAGCAGGGCCCTCCTAACCCTCTTGTATTAAACCTTTAGGGGGTCAATCGTTGTTTACATTTTTTTATAGAATTGATCAAATTTTGGTCCCCGGAACCTTTAGGGGGTCAAACATTGTTTACATTTTTTTTATAGAATTGATCACATTTTGCTCCCCGGAACCTTTAGGGGTCACTCGTTTACATTTTTTATAGAATTGATCAAATTTTGGTCCCCGGAACCTTTAGGGGGTCAATCGTTGTTTACATTTTTTATAGAATTGATCAATGTTGGTCCCGGAACCTTCAGGGGGTCAATCGTTGTTTAAATTTTTTATAGAATTGATCAATGTTGGTCCCTGGAACCTTTAGGGGGTCAATCCTTGTTTACATTTTTTATAGAATTGATAAAATTTTGCTCCCCGGAACCTTTAGGGGGTCAATCCTTGTTGAAATTTTTTATAGAATTGATCAAATGTTGGTCCCCGGAACCTTTAGGGAGTCACTTGTTTACATTTTTTATAGCATTGATCAAATTTTGGTCCCCTGAACCTTTAGGGGGTCAATCGTTGTTTACATTTTTATAGAATTGGTCAAATGTTGGTCCCCGGAACCTTTAGGGAGTCACTTGTTTACATTTTTTATAGAATTGATCAAATTTTGGTCCCCTGAACCTTTAGGGGGTCAATCGTTGTTTACATTTTTATAGAATTGGTCAAATGTTGGTCCCCGAAACCTTTAGGGGGTCAATCGTTGTTTACACTTTTTATAGAATTGATCAAATTTTGGTCCCCTGACTCTTTAGGGGGTCAATCCTTGTTTACATTTTTTATAGAATTGATCAAATTTTGCTTCCCGGAACCTTTAGGGGGTCAATCCTTGTTGACATTTTTTATAGAATTGATCAAATGTTGGTCCCCGGAACCTTTAGGGAGTCACTCGTTTACATTTTTTATAGAATTGATCAAATTTTGGTCCCCTGAACTTTTAGGGAGTCACTTGTTGTTTACATTTTTTATAGAATTGATCAAATGTTGGTCCCTGGAACCTTTAGGGGGTCAATCCTTCTTTACATTTTTTATAGAATTGATCAAATGTTGCTCTCCAGAACCTTTAGGGGGTCAATCCTTGTTTACGTTTTTATAATTGATAAAATTTTGCTCCCCGGAACCTTTAGGAGGTCAATAGTTGTTTAAATTTTTTATAGAATTGATCAAATTTTGGTCCCCTGAACCTTTAGGGGGTCAATCGTTTACATTTTTTTATAGAATTGATCCAATTTTGGTCCCCGGAACCTTTAGGGGGTCAATCGTTGTTTACATTTTTTATAGAATTGATCAAATTTTGGTCCCCTGAACCTTTAGGGGGTCAATCGTTGTTTACATTTTTTATAGAATCAATTAAATTTTGGTCCCCTGAACCTTTAGGGGGTCAGTCGGTGTTTATGTTTTTTATAGAATTGATCAAATTTTGGTCCCCGGAACCTTTAGGGGGTCAATTGTTGTTTACATTTTTTATAGAACTCTTTTGGCCTTTTTTTGTGCTTTTTTGGCTTAGCCTTTTTTTTTTTTTATTCGTATGGTTTAAATAATACATTTTGTTTATTATTTGGTAAATTGGTGTTTTGTTAGTTTTGAAAACCTCTCATGATTGGGAAATCCCCATTGGGACATCAATGAGGTTTTGATTTGCACTTTGAAGGGTGTTTCTGATCCTGTAAATGAACATATCTATTCTAAAATAAACATGTACAACAAACTCCAGCTCTGTGAATTTTAGGATTTTTTTTCTTTTGGGGTCGATATGGTATTTTTTTGGAAAATTAAACCCATCCCCCACAATTAAAACAATTCCCAAAATGGAATTTTGAGCAAATTCTGGGAAAATGAAAACTCTGAATTTCACTCATCTCTGGTCACTTACATCCTAATTGCTTAGAAGGTGCAAAGAGATTACCCTTCTTTAAGGATGGGGTGGGGGTTTGAGGGGCATTTAGCACATCATTGTCAATCAGCTTGTATTTTTAGGATATGGTACCCCCTACTGATTACAGTGAAGATTCCAAAGGACACTCAGCCACTTGAAAAGACCGGGGAAGTTGTGAGGTTATCAGTACAGAAAAGCTGGTTGAATAAACTGTCCAAAGCTCTACTTGGAAGCAGGGGCGGACTGACAACTCATGGGGACACCGGGCAATAGGGGATCATGGGGCCCCTGTGTCCTTGGCCAAACTCAAAAAAGCCTATGAAAAAGGTACCAGGGGCATCTCATGGGGCCCCCTACTGACCCCGGGCCCTGCTTGGAAGATATGCCCACCAATGGCATTGAGACAGAAATGGTTAAGAAACAAGTCACTGCACATTGCCAACTTAGGGGACCCTTGTTGACCCCCGGTTCACATCTATGCGGGTGGTGCCACTGCAGATCCACACGAAAATCCGTGCAGCACTCACACAGAGAATTGCGGACCTGCGGTGGGTGCCATTAGTTCTAATGACACGGCGCCCACACTGGAAAACACAACTGTACTGGGAACCGAGGTTCCCCCTGTGCGGGCTGCGTTTTCCAGAGTAGTGCAGGGACTTCTTTCCCTGCGTGTCACGGGAACGGGAGTCCATTCAAATGAATGGGCTCTTGTGCCCGAGCAAAACGTGGCCCATAGGTGTGAACCGGGGGTGAAGGTAGAAAAATACAAAACAAGTGAAGCACTTCTCACAATAGGATAGGTGCACATCTATGCAGGTTGCGGTTGATGCGTCTTTCCGGTGCATTTTACAGTGTGTTTTGCATTTTTGAACATGCAATTTTGACATATTTGGCTTTTTTGGAGGGGGGGGGGGGGGGCTGATAGGATAGTGTTCTGTTGTTCTGTTCATGTAGTGTGACTTTGATACGACTTTACACTCTGGCTTCTTCAAAGTCGCATTAAAGCAGTGCAGGAACATTTATGTTTCCAAAGTCCCATTTTTTTTGGCTAATAGGAAGGTATGACAGTTCTGATCAGGTCGTGATGAGTTTTGTTTAAGGAGGATGCAGAACCCCTGACCTCTGTCTTTAGAGTCCTGATTGGCCCTGTGCTGATCACATGCACTCTCTCAAGAAAAAAAAAAAGACCTTTCTAGCAATACACACTAAACTGAGCATGTGCAGATTGTTTCCACAAGATATGTCTTATCAGGAAATAAGAGGGGGGCACTGAAAGAAGGGGAGGATCGGAGAAGACAGGATCAAACAGCATTTTTACACAATGCAGAGGATTAACGCCTTAGGTACCTCAGTGAGTATAACTAACATGCTTTACTGCATGTACAGACTGATTGTACTGTTGTGGGTGTAGTAATACTTTAACCTCCCTAGCGGTATTCCCGAGTGTAGCTCGGGGTAAAGTTTCAGTACCACAAGTGGTAACCCCGAGCTACACTCGGGCTTACCATGCGGCGCTGCTCCAGGATCCCTCGATCACTTACCTTGTCCTGCGCTCCCGCGATGTCCCTCCTGCAGTGTCCCCGGCAATGTAATCCGATGGATGCCGGCATCTGTCTTCCGGGTTCCGTTCCCTGTGACGTCGGGACGTACGGGGGACGGAACTGGCGGGAAATTTGAAAATGACAAAAAGTGACATTCACTCAATACAGTAAAATCACATAGTATAACATTCCTGTATCAAACCATTTCACATACATTTTGTCCTGAGTGCTTTGTCCGGCGCCCTGCCTGCATTTTTACTGTTCTTTCTGCCTGGAAACTGAGAAACGTCCATGGAGTCCAAAAAGTGTCCCTTTAGGTCAAAAGCGGTTTTAGACCGGCTAGAGAACAGCGATAGTAAATCAGAACCACTTGCAGAATTGAGTGATAATGATTCGTGGGGGAAATTCGTCATCAGACACTGAAAACGATTCTGCGACTTTGCCCAGTGATGTGCGAACTTGGCGCTCTATTTCACATTTCAGTGTTTTTGGTTTGATTATATTATTGAATTAAATGTATTATTATTATATTATTATTTTTTATGATTATTTATTAAATTATAATTTATGATTTTGTGTTTCAAGTTTTAACATATCCGGGATGTTTACTAGACTCTTGTTTGGACAGATTTCAGTGAGTTATTCCTAAAAATTACAGGCCTACAATAAAAAAATACATATTTCCATGCAAAAAAATGTACCGCTTTGAGCACAGAAATATGGACATAATCAGACCGCTAGGGAGGTTAAGTAACAGATTGAAACAAAACAAAATTAATTTTCTCGTTCTGCACAGGACTAGTGAAGATGGGGTAGGGGTAGACGGGACTCTGATACGAGTGGTACTCTGATGTAAAGGGGGGAACTTTACATCTCTGTCATTCAAGTAGCATCAAAGTTGCATCAAAGTCACATGACCTGAACAGAACTGTCATACTTTCCTATTAGCCAAAAAACCCCAAAAAACATCAAAAATTGAAATAAAAACCCTCTGTTTTTGGTTCAGGTCCATTGAAGTCTATTACATGCAAAATGTAATCTGCTGCAGGAAAAAAAAGTCCCTGACCCAAAATGCAGAGATCTTAGATTGTAAGCTCTAAGGGGCAGGGCCCTCTGAATCCTCCTGTATTCATTTGTATTGTAATTGTACTGTCTGCCCCTATGTTGTAAAGCTCTGCATGAAATTGATGGCGCTATATAAATCCTGTATAATAATAATAATGTGAATGAGAATCTTAGGAAACCATGTTATAGGGACTGTAATACGTTTTGCATTTTGCAGAAACACACTACAGTCCATTTAACATGGTTTCCTATGAAGAAACCTATAGGTATGAACCAAGGCTAAGCCACGGTTCACATTTGTGCGGTTTTGCGGGACGTGGTACAACAGCCCATTCATTTGAGTGGGTTGCTGTGCCTCACAAAACGCAGGGAAAAGGTCTCTGCAAGGTTCCAGAAATCGCAGCCTGCACTGGGAACCACACTACATTGTCACCGGCCTCCCAAGAATGACATGGAAAAAGCATAAGCATAGAAGAGCCAATAGTTCAGCCTGCAACTCCGTTTTATAATAATAGTGAATAAAAATGCACTTACACATAATAAAAGTAAAATGCGCATGTACAAACAGAATATAGAAGATTCGGCAGACATGGTGTCCTATCTCCACCCGGCATGATGACGTCACCGCCCAGCTGACGTGTTGTGTCGTGATTGGCTTTCTTAAAAGTTTGTTGTAGGTGGCACATGAAATTCCCATAGCAGGAATCTCTAACCCTAGGTTCACATCTGAGCGGGTTGGTGCCGCTGCGGATCCACACGAAAATCCGTGCAACCGCACCACCCGCACAGAGAAATGCAGACCTGCGGGCCTGTGCCATTAGTTCTAATGGCACGCCGCCCGCACTGGAAAATGCAACCGTACTGGAAACCGAGGTTGCGTTTTCCAGAGTAATGCAGGGACTTTTTTTCCCTGCGTGTGACAGGCACGGGAGTCCATTCAAATGAATGGGCTCTCGTGCCCATACAAAACACGGCCCGCACGGCCACATAGATGTAAGACCAGGGTCCAAGTATTTCCTTCTTGTATTATGCAGGCCATAGACAGGTCGGAAATCGGCTGATTTTTGCACCGTTAGTGGGTTAATTGGTCAGCCGTTTTTTTGGGCTTTTGGCACATTTTTTTTTATCAGTCAAGTTGGAAAATTTGTGGCCGATTTTGACGATCGGCCGATTTTCCCAGCAATGATGGGCAAATCAGCCGATCGTTTTACTGATAAAAAATCTGCGCATGAGCCGTGACCTGGAAAAAGAAAAGAAAAAGAAGAAGAAAAAAAAAAGAGAAGAAAAAGAAGAAGAATTCCAGTTCGCTATTATATTTTATATGAAAAGTCTTGCGGTTGCAACAATGTATCTATTTGTATCCGAATAAAACCATCTGTATCCGAAATGGATACATTGTTGCAACCGCAATACTTTTCATGTCAAATATAAAAGCGGAGCTCTCTGCAAGGGACAGAAGTAATTAAATGCCGGCCGTAGACGGGACGAAAATCGGCTGATTTTTTTACCATTGGTGGTAATGTCGGCCGATCGAACGACTGATTTTTCATTTTTTTTTCATACAAAAAAAACGGCTGGTTTTTGACCCGTCTATGGCCTGCATTAGATTGATGGGAAGATTTACTGTTGCAGCTGTGCATAGAAACCAATCAGCTTCCAGGTTTTATTGTCAGAACCTTACCCCCAGTCACATCAAACCCGACTTAGAAAATAATGCAATTTATAGTGAAATCGCACGATTTCAAAGTTGGGTGAACTGTCGATTTCAGGTGCGATTTGCAAGACATCTGACACAGATGTCTATGCAAGTCACACCATGTACTACTTTGGAAATCGGTGCGGCTCTGACCAACTTGGAAGCGCACCGATATGACCGCTGTAATTGCAGACAATAGGGTGCGACTTGGCATGCGATTTGCAAATTGCATGGCAATTCGCATCCAGTGTGACCAGGGTGTAATTGACCAAGCTGAAATCAGAAGCTGATTGGCTCCCATGCACAGCTGCACTATATTTTGAGTGCTCCAGTTTTAGTAAATCTCCCCCATGTGTCATGGTAGCAAAAACTACGAGGTGCCCTGTAATTGGTGCCCAACTATTGTACCCAACTCCAGGGGTGTATTTACCACAAGGCAAACAAGGCATTTGCCTAGGGCGGCAGCAACATTTTTCAGGGGGGCAGTGCGCCCCCCAAAAGAAAGGATACAAGCAGAGGCTGTCTTCATAGACAACTGGATGTCAGAGCGATCGGTATATTCAAAAACGTGAGCAGCTAAAGTTATGTGCAGTTCGCAGTTTTCCCTGTAATAGTTGAGTTCGGCTCCACCCGTCTTAATCCCTGAACCTCCCTATTGGTCATTGAGGCTGTCTTTTACATTATAGGACCAATAGGAAGACTTGGAAGGTAAGGTTGGGTGGGCTTGGTCTGAGGTTCCACAGGAAAACGAGAGATTCGCCTATAACTTCAGCTGCCGAAATCTGTGGCTCTATGGACTGTTTTGACATGCTGGTACCCACATGGAAGAAAAATATATTTTAAATATATTTAAAAAATATTCTTCCCAAATATATTGCCATATATTTGAAATACTACAATTTTGACCATATTCAATATATTTCAAAATATATTTCAATAAATATATATATATATATATATATACTGCATGTTTAAATGCGTTTTTATTACAACATATATGAAAAATATTTTTAAAAATACATTTCAAATATACTGTATGTCTTTACAAATACCAATCTACATTTTTGGAATGCATTTACAAATATATGTAAAAATGACTTTTATATGTAAAAAAAAAATCTGAAGAATATATTTAAAAATATATATTTTTAAAATATATTCTTCAGATTTTTTTTAACATATAAAAAAAAAACATTCAAATATATTTTTCTTCCATATGGGTTTCACTTAAACCTGGCCTCAACTTTGACTACATCTCTTCTTTTGAAGTGCATGAATTGGGACTAAAAATGTTTTGTGTGTGCTAATAGAAACAAAACAAATTCATTATTATGTAATGATTATTGATCTTATACCTTAGATTGTACGCCCCTTGAGGGTTAGGGACTGGTGTGAATGTACTATATATATATATATATACAGGGCTTTTCAGAGGAAAGGTGGTGGAACTCCCCCACCCAAACCTGGCCACGCCCCCATCAAACCCTAGGACCACCCCTTTAGAGAACAGGAAATGCAAGTAAAATTTGGGAGGGGCTTCCGATGACATCATTTCCCGTACATACCATATAAGGGAAATGATGTCATCGGACCCCCGGCTGCCTCTTGCATGATCTGCATGAAACACATGCATAGATATAAAATGACTAATGTACTGACACCAGAAACACATGCATAGATATAAAATGACTAATGTACTGACACCAGAAACACATGCATAGATATAAAATGAATACCGTACTGACACCAGAAACACACGCATAGATATAAAATCAGTACCGTACTGACACCAGAAACACATGCATGATATAAAATGACTAATGTACTGACACCAGAAACACATGCATAGATATTAAAATCAGTACCGTACTGACACCAGAAACACACGCATAGATATAAAATCAGTACCGTACTGACACCAGAAACACATGCATAGATAAAAAATCAGTACCGTACTGACACCAGAAACACACGCATAGATATAAAATCAGTACCGTACTGACACCAGGAAAAACATGCATAGATATAAAATCATGGCAGGCCGTTTGTAAACGTCCAGCATAGATATAAAATCAGTCTAGCATGCATGTGTACCCTGTCTGGTAGATGTGCCTGCTCCTACAGGCTCCCCTTTGCCACCTTTTCCTCCAAAAAATACCGTCCATCACTGAATTTATCTTTCTGTTCCTCATGCACAGGAGGGGCGCTCTCGATCGGCGCCGCTGAGCGCTGAGCAATTGCGTTCTGAAATAGTTTAGGTGGGCTCAGGTGGGTGAGGATAGTTTAGGTGGGCTCAGATAGTTTTAGGTGGGCACAGGTGGTTGGGATAGTTTAGGTGGGCACAGGCTGGGGAGAGAGTAAAAATTTAGAGCAATACATGATACTGCAGTCAGTGACAGGGAGCCGAGCGCAGCTTACCTACTCCAAGCTGTACGGCCCCTGCGTCCACGCTGTCACTGCCGTTGATGTCGCCGCGCCGCCCCCGATGTTTACACGCCGGCGGGGGGGGGCGGTGCGGTGAAGCGTGCATAGTGTCCTCGCCCATCGTCCGCGCCCCCGATGTTTACACGCTGGCGGTAGAGGGGGGGGGGGGTGAAGCGTGATGTCCCCGGCTGTGAGCAGCGGCAGTGACAGGTGCCGGGCACGCGCAAGCATGACATAAACAAGCCGCGTCCGGCACCTGTCACTTTCGCTGCTCTGCATAGCTTGTCAGCTCTGCAGAGGCAGTCGGTGAGCGGGGACAAGAAGAAAAAGGTGGCGGAACGCAGTACCGCCGCGTTCCGGCAGAAAGAAAGCCCTGTATATATATATATGTATGTATGTAAAGCGCTGTGTAAATTGATGGCGCTATATAAGTACCTGTAATAAAAATAATAAATAAATATATATGTAAAGCGTTGCGTAAATTGATGGTGCTATATACAGGGGCGTATTTACCACAAGGCAAACAAGACATTTGCCTAGGGCGACATTTTTCTGGGGGGCAGTGCCGTCCCCTGAAAGAAGGGATGGAAGAAGGGACACATGCAGCATAGGGACCAGGTGGGATCTGAGAGAGGCTGCTTGATGGTGTATACAGAGTCTGACTCTTGATCCCGGGGATGTCTGGAGCTGTGAAGGTGAGTGTCTTCTCTCTCACCAGGATGGGGGGAGGTTGCCACTGTATGGGGGGTGGTGGTAGTGGAAGGCTGTCTCGGGTGTGTGTGTGGGGGGTGTTGGTTGGTGTCAGGGTCTCTCCGTGGGGGGGGGGGGGGGGGACTTTTGTGTAGCCTACAGCAGCACGAACCCTAAATACAGCACTGCCCAACTCTCCAGTGGCCCATGTCTCCTACTTTATTTAGTCTCTTCCAGGGGCGGACTGACAAGTCATGGGGCCCCCAGGCAATAGGGGATCATGGGGCCCCTGTGTCCTTGCCCAAACTCAAAAAAGGCCTATGAAAAAGGTACCAGGGGCATCTCATGGGGCCCCCTACTGACCCCGGGCCCTTGGGCAGTGCCCGAGTTTCCAAATGGTTAGTCTGCCCCTGGTCTCTTCAGAATTCAACACTTCCAGGAGAGTCGGAAACATATGTCCCCTGCCACGCTTTGTGGTCCATCCTCCAGCCCCAATGTCACTGATGTGTACTGTAGTACCATAAAGGTCAGAGGATAGAAACACAGGCATCTGAAACTCCAATAAATGTGAAGGTGGAAGCAGGGGCGGACTGACAACTCATGGGGCCCTGGGCAATAGGGGGTCATAGGGCCCCTGTGTCCTTGCCCACACTCAAAGCACACCCAAAAAAGCCTATAAAAGGTACCAGGGGCATTTCATGGGGCTCCCTACTGACCCCTGGCCCCTGAGTGCTCGAATGGTCAGTCTGCCCTTGAGTGGAAGAGAGATTGAGGTTGCAGCACTGGAACGGAGGGAACGGAGGAGACAGGGGCCCCCTGAGAGGTGAGTATTAATAGCTCTTCTTTGGCAAGGCTACTTTTTTTTGAGGATTTTTTGCTAAACTGATAAAGAGAAAAAGAAAAGTAAAAAAAATACAAGTGTACCTGAATAATGGGCATGGAGGATTGGACTGGGAGGAAGGAGGACATTTTCCTACAGGCCATTACTAATAAAATAGGTAGGGCCAGGGCTTTCTTTCTGCCGGAACGCGGCGGTACTGCGTTCCGCCACCTTTTTCTTCTTGTCCCCGCTCACCGACTGCCTCTGCAGAGCTGACAAGCTATGCAGAGCAGCGAAAGTGACAGGTGCCGGACGCGGCTTGTTTATGTCATGCTTGCGCGTGCCCGGCACCTGTCACTGCCGCTGCTCACAGCCGGTGAGCGGGGACATGCACGCTTCACCCCCCCCCCCCTCTACCGCCAGCGTGTAAACATCGGGGGCGCGGACGATGGGCGAGGACACTATGCACGCTTCACCGCCCCCCCCCGCCGGCGTGTGTAAACATCGGGGGCGGCGCGGCGACATCAACGGCAGTGACAGCGTGGACGCAGGGGCCGTACAGCTTGGAGTAGGTAAGCTGCGCTCGGCTCCCTGTCACTGACTGCAGTATCATGTATTGCTCTAAATTTTTACTCTCTCCCCAGCCTGTGCCCACCTAAACTATCCCAACCACCTGTGCCCACCTAAACTATCTGAGCCCACCTAAACTATCCTCACCCACCTGAGCCCACCTAAACTATTTCAGAACGCAATTGCTCAGCGCTCAGCGGCGCCGATCGAGAGCGCCCCTCCTGTGCATGAGGAACAGGAAAGATAAATTCAGTGATGGACGGTATTTTTTGGAGGAAAAGGTGGCAACCCTAGGGGAGCCTGTAGGAGCAGGCACATCTACCAGACAGGGTACACATGCATGCTAGACTGATTTTATATCTATGCTGGACGTTTACAAACGGGCCTGCCATGATTTTATATCTATGCATGTGTTCCTGGTGTCAGTACGGTACTGATTTTATATCTATGCGTGTGTTTCTGGTGTCAGTACGGTACTGATTTTATATCTATGCATGTGTTTTCTGGTGTCAGTACGGTACTGATTTTATATCTATGCGTGTGTTTCTGGTGTCAGTACGGTACTGATTTTATATCTATGCATGTGTTTCTGGTGTCAGTACATTAGTCATTTTATATCTATGCATGTGTTTCTGGTGTCAGTACGGTACTGATTTTATATCTATGCGTGTGTTTCTGGTGTCAGTACGGTATTCATTTTATATCTATGCATGTGTTTCTGGTGTCAGTACATTAGTCATTTTATATCTATGCATGTGTTTCTGGTGTCAGTACATTAGTCATTTTATATCTATGCA